CAAGGTTGCGCCGTTCGAAGCCCTCTATGACCGTAAGTGCAGATCCCCTCTGTGTTGGGCTGAGGTGGGTGACACGCAGCTAGTCAAGGGTTAAGTCCCCGATAGCACTCTCACAAGCCCAGAAATCATCTGAGAGACTACTGAAAAGATCATACAAATCCGGGAACGACTAAAAGCTTGAAGAGATAGACAAAAGAGCTACGCCGATAAGAGACGAAAACCCTTGGAGTTCCAGGTTGGTGACCGTGTTCTTCTGAAGGTCTCACCCTGGAAAGGCATGATACGCTTCAGAAAGCGTGGAAAGCTGAATCCAAGATACATAGGACCATTCGAGATCCTCGTTAGGATCGGTCCCGTAGCATACAAACTTCGCCTACCACGAGAACTTAGCAACGTACATCCCGTCTTCCACGTGTCGAACCTAAAGAAGTGTCTGTCCGACTAGACACTTGTGATACCCCTCGATGAGATCGAACTAGACGACAGCTTACACTTCGTAGAGGAACCCATAGAAATCATGGATAGGGAAGTCAAGCGAACGAAACAAAGCCGTATCCCGATAGTGAAGGTTCGTTGGAACGCCAAGCGGGGACCTGAATTCACTTGGGAGCGCAAGGATTCAATGAAACAGAAGTACCCTCATCTATTTCCGAGTCCATGATTTGTATTCGGTGTTTGAATTTCGGGACGAAATTCCCTCTAACGGGGGGATGATGTGATAACCCGAACCTTTTTCCGTTACCGTTATCCGTTTTCGTTAATAAAATCTGAATTTTATTAAGTTTCCCGTCAAATTTCTTGGTTTAGAAAATCATCTAGTTTATATAAATTAAATTTTTATACGATTCGGGACAAAAACTTCACGAAATTTCGAGTTATCCTTCGATCAAAACATCGGTTTTCGGCCTAAGTGAGTTTACAGCCGTAAACCCGTGTACGGCCGTACACTCGTTTACGGCCAGCATCAGGTGGACCCCACCACCCGACCTCGAAAAACCCCTATAAATACGAGACCCTACCCCTCATTTTCACTTTTCTGGACGGACACTCTCTCTTTCTCTCTATAAACTCTTGGTCGTACACCCCAAAAACACCCGTATTCTTCCGAAAATCATCAAGAATCGTCATTGGGAGTCGATTTGGAGCATCTAGAACACGTTTTTCATCGAATCCATCAACCTTGTTATTGAGTGTACGACCGTACACCCTTCAAATCTGCAAATCTTCATTGACCGCACACCTCTTGGTACTCTCTCTCTCCCCCTCTTATTGTTAGCCTCTTCTTCTATTGAGTAATTTTAGAAACCATCATTAAGAGAGAAATATTTTAGTATGTTAAAACAAATTTGTTTTCTCTCACAATTTTGACGAAATTTTGAAGCTATTATTGAGAAAGTGATGTTGTATTACGAATTTTTGAAGCTGTTATAGTCTAGAGAAGGGTTTGAGCTTATATTTCTATTAAAGTATTGGTTTATGATTCTTTTCAAGCTGTAATCATATTTATATTGTAAATTTTTATTTTCAGGGTATGCAACATAGGTAGAAGATTCTACATATAAGAGTCAAGAGGTAGGTTTTTTCTCTTGCTGGTAACAGTTCTTGATCACTTTGTTATTTGAACTTCAATGACTTAAATGTACCTACGCTATAGTGGAAATAAGGTGTTTTGTTGTTTGGTTTTCATCATTACCCTTTAACTTTATTGTAAGTTTAAACTTTGGTTAACAATTTAATACTTAATTGGGTGTTTGTTACCTCTTGCAGTAATTGGGGGTAAATATGAGGGGTTAATAATAAGCTAGAAGTAAATTTTCATTTGAATCTACTTATGCGTTTTCGTATAAGCATTTTGAATATATTTATGACACCACCTTTTGCATTTACACCACATATTTCAAGTAGATATGTGTGGCATTTTCACTTTACCATGGCATTTTCACCAAGAGGATAGTATGTGCAGGTTTGTGAATAAAGTAGTGCATTTCCAATCACCAACACTGATGAAGATTGCTCATATTGTAAGGGGTTGTTTAATTTCATGAGTCTTTTTTATTATATGGAGTTCAATATTAGAAATTCGCTCTTTAATATTATTAGAAGGGCTAAATGCAAAAGATGACAATGGTTTTAACTATTTTATTAGCATTCGTACCTTCACTTAATCTTTTTATGGTACTTTATTGTTAAATCAAGAAGTAATATTTTGTTTTGACTACATATTACACAAGCATCGGCTATGCATGATGGGTGGATAGTACCATATATTGGACCAAATTCGATGAAAACATTCAATGATATCAACAACTCAAGACATTGTAAAGATTATGATGATTCCACATAACTTCTAAATTCTCTTTGATTAACAACAACTTTACTATTTCTGTTTATTCCGCCAATGATTTTTCCTTTTTTTAATTACTTGTAATCATCCCTCTAAAAAATTACTTTATTGTGGCCATATTAATATATGTTCAATTCGTTGCTTTGCACAATCAGGATGTAGTTTTTGATAAAAGATAGACAATGTTTATTTAGTTCAAGTGATTTTATCATTATTTACTCAATCTAAGGTGAAGGAAAACAACATCATAATAGTTATTTACTAACTTTACCAATGTTCTCTAATATACTCTTTGTTTGATAAAATGAAGAAGTAATATATTTTTGAATAACAAGTATAATAGCGTGAATATATTAACTAACAAATCATTCAATTTACCAAACACATACTATAAGCATTATAAATTTAAAAAAAAAGTTTTTTTGTGATTTAAATTATAATAATATAAAGTGTAAAATTAAAAATGATACTTTAATGTATGCTTAAGTATTTTTAGACTACAATAACACGTATCTTAAATAAAATTTTTTAATAAGGTGTCTTAAGTCTCCACACCTCTTAATTATCCTGAAGACGCAAAATCCAGGAAATTAACAATACGCTTTGAGTTGAAACTGACAAGCTTCCTTATAAATCGAGTGGAAGTTACAAATTCACATGATTGTGGTATGTGTTTTTCATCATCACGAGTAAATGTAGTATTATAGTTTTTGAGTAAATTACATGAATCATTCCTCGTATATGTGCCAAAACGTATGTTTAGTCATTATTTTCGAAAATTAACTAAGAGCGTCGCTCATTTGTTTAAAATTTGCATGCTTCATCCCCGCTAACAATAAATGAATATATTGTCCTTACTAACAAAAAATCTGTTATTACCGGCAGTGCTCCATTTTTCAGATGCAGATTTTCGGTGGTGCTATTCATTTTTTTGGTGGTGGTAGTTGTTTTTGTCAAAAAGTGATAGATTAATTTTATAACCTAATTAGTAAGTGTGTTTTTATGTTTAAAATAAAAGGAATAAAACTAAAGTGCTTGAAATCTTGAGATATGTCGAAGAGCTTGGCTGTGCCCAAGATCATGGGAAGAAAACTATTATTATCAGAAAACTATTTTATAAAACTGATATGTTCTAAAGTGGAAATAAGTGTATTTGAAGTATTTGGGACAAAAATAGTCTTAAAGTTGTCAAACAAGTGAATTTCTATAATAAATCTCAAGATAATAAATAAGGTGCCAAGATTCCACATAATATCTTTGTAGTTTTGACAATAAAATTGGATAAACAATCAAAGATATAGTAGAAAACATTGTTATCGATAAAACAGTAAATAAGAAAAAGAAAATGTAAGAACATAGTGACGTACGAGTAAAGTCCATAATCTGTTTGGATATCCAACATAAAACCTTAGGAGGTGATGAAATCACCTGCCTTAGAAATTATATTAATTGAAATAAAATTACAAGAGCTAGCTGATCATGTAGTAAGTGCAAAAGTGCTCAAGTGTCGAGAGAATGAGAGTGAGAATAGAAGCGCGAGTGTGTTTGTGAATTTTGATCAAGTAGACTTTTATACATATCCATAATAAAAACTAATGTGAAATTCTAGGGATCTTCCTTGATCCATGATTGATCCAATATCTCGATGGCCTTCAACGTTCATATGGCTTTGAACATGTGCTATTGACGTGGTCTTAGTAATTTCTAGTCAATACCATGATACATGAATGATATATTACAAGAAAACGAAGGCAATCCTAAGATATTGACTAAATCTAAAATGTTGGGCTAACATGGGATGTTAACATAAATTAAGATGTTAAAATTTAGAAGTAATTTTTGTACCCATAACAACGGTGACTTAGGTTGTTGAAACCTTGGAGGTGGCGATAAGACTTTCCACGGATTTAAGGTGGTGGCGGCTATCACTTTGGAGGTGATGGTGGTGGCGGACACTTTCCATGCGTACTTTAGAAAGACGCATGATCTTTTATTGATTATTTATTTTAAACGCTCTCTTCTTATTTCACCTCACAATTGACACCTTCAATATCTCAATAATAATACATTTCTTGTGATGCATAGGATTTTTCGCAGCGGTCAATATAGCTAAAAAATTTTGTTTTATTTAGTTAAACTTCCTTTATGACTTTTTGAATATATTACATTTTTCTAATCTATATTAACCATAGGTTACATTACTTGTTTCATATACATATAATAACATCTAATTTATTTCACAAACTATATGATTAGATATTTTAATTAATAAGCCATTAAAACAATTAATATTATGAAAAAAAGATATATCTTTCTTGCTCTTATGGAATTTCATTTTATTTACCTTCTATATATAGATATATTTATTGTGTTCATTTCAATGTGTTTGGTCTAGGCAATGCAACACAAATGAAGGTGATGAAATGAAAATAATAACGAAATTATCACTTCGTCAATGACACGTTGAATTTGAAACCCATAATATATAAAGCTTACATTTATTAACATGAATTCTAGTAACATGTGGACATTAAGGACGTTTTAGTACATATGTGTTTGTGAAATGCATATTTTGTTATTCGGATATAAATATATTTTAATATCTTACCACGATCTTAGTCCTCTTATTCTAAAATCATCACTTCGCCCCTGCTTACTAGGTGGTCGTTTGAGGCCTTCCATGCATAGTTGGTGGTGGCGGTGACGTAGGAGGTGGTGGTGGAGACATGCCAGGCGAATCTGGTGGTGGAGGTGGCGGTGGAGACTTTGGAGACTTTGGAGCCTTTGGTGCCTTTGGAGCCTTTGGGGCCTTTGGGGTCTTTGGAGCCTTTGGAGCCTTGGGAGCCTTCGGAGGTGAGTCTCCATGTATGTAAGGTGGCGGTGGCGATGATTTAGGAGGTGGTGGTGGTGGAGATTTTCCATGGATGGGATGATTAAGAGCTATATATGATGCTTTATCTGCATAGTCGGCTGTAATTGATAAAGGGATGCTTAGAGAAAGTAAAGCTACTAGAGGAGGCATAATTAAAGTGGCCATTGTTAGCCGCTTCCCTTTTGTTAATCCCATTTTCATGACTTATGCTTCCATGCATTCTTCTTCACTCTTTATAGCCATATTTTGAACCGCAAATTACGTTTATACCCTTCATATATTATCATTAAATACGTACAAAAGAAACAATTTAAAGTAAATAAATGTCAATAGTAAAGCTTACAACGTCAAATATGAAGCGTAATTTACTAGCTATAACTAGTAATCAATACTTAATTTTATGTTAATATGAAAAAAAATGATAATTCGTTGAACTTATATCAATATCAAATATATGAAAATAATCAATGTTGGAAAAAATTTCAAATAATTAGTCGATAACATACCATTGTGTAATAACACATGTTAGTCGATCGAGTAACACTCTTGCACATATCTTGAACAATTTTTTATTTTATTTTATTATTTTTTATTTTTTTGTGATTTAAAGTATAAAAATATAAAGTATAAAAACAAAAATATAATACTTGTATGTATGCTTAAGTATTTTTAGACTACAATAACATGAATCTTAAACGAAACGTTTTTAATAAGGTGTCTTAAGCCTACACACCTCTTAATTATCCCGAAGAAGCAAAATGCAAGAAACAATACGATATGAGTTTAAACTAACAAACTTCCGTATAAATCGAATGGAAGTTAGTGATTCACATGATTATGGTATGTGTCTTTCATCATCACGTGTAAAGGTTGTGTTTTAATTTGCAGTACATTACATGAATCAACCCTCGTGTATGTGCCGAAACATACGTTTAATCCTTATTTTTAAAAAATTAACTAGGATCGTCCCTCATTTGTTTAAAATTTGCATGCTTTATCCCTGCTAACATGAAATCACTATATTGCCCTCACTAATTTCTTTTTTCATTTTTTTATTTGTTATAATTTATTTACTATTATTTATTAATTATAACTTTGGAAAATAAAATGGCCCTCTCTCTCTCTTTAATATATTGGTAAATATATTTCTTCTTTCTCCTCTTAAGCATCCATAAACCATCACCACCACCATTGTTGAACTTAAGATCTATTTATCAAACAAAGTCATACCCTAAAACCTAAAAATCGTTAGAAGATGGAGTGAATCAGTTGCTTAGTTGCTTGGAAAGGCTACGAATCTTAAAGGTATCTGATGGCAGTAATAGGAAAACCCATTAAAGTTTCAAGCCCGAATTTGATCGAGATGCTGGATTCGAGTCTAAGTAGGAGCCATGTTCCTCTTGAGTGGAGGTACGAAGATGTTTCGGTCCTCAGAATCAACCAATTTGTTCGTGTAATCACTACGATTAAAGTCAAGGAATGCGATTTAAACTCGTTGGAGCTACAATAACTCACTATGCCACAAAAATGCTTTTGGCGATGATCAAAGAAGGTATTAGTGGTAGTTTAGGTGCAGAACGAAGTAGCAGTGGTAAGTGGTGGCATGGTGGTTTCCGAAAACTGGAAAGGCGGACTACACATGATCTCCAACACAACCACCACCATCTCGAATCTACATTTTGATTTGAAACTTGAACCCATGGGTTGCCAAAGTAAGGGTGTTACTAGAGAGAAAGATATCATAGAGGAAGAAGATTCAGATTGGAGAAGAAGCAGAATCAATGTCAAATTTTAGCCATCTTTTTCGCCTACAACTCTAGTTCCGATTCAGAAAAAATCGATGGTAGTCGTATAAATCTGATAGTGGGGAAGATCCATGTGTAAGGGACAGAAGGAGAGAAACTGTAATGCCCGCACATTTCGTTAGACATTTCACGGATAGACCCTCTTTATATTATCAAATAAATGTAAATTGTATTATAAAAAAATAAATAAATGAGAAGTTTTTTCTTACATGTTATGTGTTTACAAAGTGTTTTTTTATATTATACTGTATTTATGTTATACAAATAAATATTATAACGATATAATATTTGTATAAAAATATGGTTAAAAATGAGATGAGAGGCTAAAAATATTAATTAAAATAAATGCATAATTAGGATAAATGATCTAAACAATATTCGAAGTACTTCTTGATAGCAACGTGTCGATATAAAGAACGCCAAAATCTGACATCGTATGAGAAAGTTATGATTTTTCAAAGTTTCAAGTGTGACACAATACAACAATGTGAGACACAAAAATAAAAAAAAATTGGTTGATTTTTAGCCGTAACAATCTAAATGGAAGTTGTACTACTCTTCAATATGCAATCAACGGTATAAAGAACATCGAAAACGGAGTTCGAATGAAGAAGTTATGAATTTCACATCATCATTTATAGTGTAAGCCCTCTCGAACCGTAAAATGAAAAATAAACTAAAAACTATCTGACAATGTCTAAATGAAAGTTGTAGTACTTCTCGATAGCTACACGTGGATATAAAATCCATCAAAAACGGAGTGTGTATGCGGAAGTTGTGATTTTTAGAAAAAAAAATATTAAATCTGGGCCATTACAGGGCCGACCCGTGGCCCCACCAGAGGGCGACACATGTCGCAATCCTACTCTACCCGTGGCCCCCTGCTTTTGATATAAATAGGTGTGTTTGCTGCTTCGTTTGGTGCCAATTGTCTTCCAAACTCTCTCGAACCCTTGAGGCCCGGTTCTTGTACTTCTTAGGTGTTAGGAGTGAAGTCATGGAGCGCTAGAGAGACTGGAGAAAAAGTGTTTTCGGTTTCGAAGTTTTGCCCACGCAATTTCCGGTTTTTTCCCTAAACAACATGGAAGTTGAGTTATGTTTACCGTGATTTGAGTATAATTATATTTATGGTTTACAAACATTATTATGAACTTATAAATAAGAATTATCAGTAATATCCATCGTTATACTGATCGATCTACTTACGGGAATGATGTCTATGCCAGATTAGTGAGGTGTTTAAAGTGGATTTCCAAATAATATATTTTTATATGCCAAATGGATCCTACCTCCGATACCATCTTACCTGGTTGTTTCTTATCAGTTATAATTTAGCTATAAGATTTACCTGGTTGTTTCTAAGAATGAAACACCGTAAATTTTCAAACAAAATTTTCGTTTTAAAAATCACATGGTTCTCATAAACATAGTTCACAAATCACCAAAATGACAATTTATCAAAACACATGTTCATAAATTATTCAAACACAATCCATGATCCTTAAAACATAACTCCGCCTCGTGTGTACAATCAAGTCGGCGCCTTCCCGTGATCCTGAGAAGTACCTAAAACACATAACACATAACTCGGTAAGCACGAAACTTAGTGAGTTCCCCAAAATACCACACATAACTCATTAGCCTCTCGTGGCTATATCTCAAATAAGACCCTCCGGTCAATGTGTCTCAGTGGAGCCCTCCGGTCCCACAACTCGGGTGGACCCTCCGGTCCTAACTCAGTAAAGCTCACAATAATATATAGCATAAATCACAAAGACATAATGCAGGATATCAGAATACTCGATAATAGCATACAAGACCCACCGGTCACACAAATTACTACTCTAGGTAAGTATAGTGAGAAAACTCACCTCGTAAGCAAGCAAATAAACCTCGTACACGAATCACCGATCTAGCATCCGCCTAACACATATGATAAATGAAACATCCCAAAAATACGACCCAAAAGTTTCTTTTGAAGATTATTATAACAACCATAATCATTCATGATCAATAAGAAACCAAGTGTTACGTGTCTCAAAATATCATATAAAATACCGTATCAAAATAAATAGTAAAATATCAGTCTCAAAATCCCAAACTGAATACTGTGGTGTGTGTCATGCGATCACCCCGAGCTCTTCCCCTTGCTACCGGAAGTACCTGAAACCAAACTGAAAACTGTAAGCACGAAGCTTAGTGAACTCCCCCAAACTACCACATACCATACAAATACACATATGCACATACTGGGCCTTGCCCACTACATCGGACCGAAGTCCGGCATATATTGGGCCCCGCCCGGCATCGGACCGAAGTCCGGAATAACTTGGGCCCCGCCCGGCATTGGACCGAAGTCCGGAACATATAACACAAAATATAACATGCATTAATCACAAAGACATCAAGCATACATAACTACTTCTCGGGACTACCTCGACATGTTGTAACTACATAAACGTGCCGACATTGGTGCCTTAGACCCGTTCCTACTGGAGGAAAACTCACATCGTATGAATGACTGCTGAAAATCTGGGTGAGGAAATCCCTGTCTGCTGCTCCGGCGACTCTCCGGCTATATAAATTCCATAAGGACACTTAGTCAAAAACTACTAATTATTCTTAGGGTGAAAGTGTTGGATATAGTGTCTAAGTCCATAACTATATTTGGTATGTACTTGACCCGACCTGGCATGGTCCATTTGGGTTGCATGACATTGCAATACTTGGATAGACCAAAATGGAGAGAAAGGACACTTAAGGTTTATTAATATTTATACGTACTAATATATTAATAATATTATTTAATTAGTATTGATCAAAGAATTAATTTGGAATTAATTAAGTGATCAAAAAGAGACTAATTAAATATATGAGGTTGATTGTGTAAATAATCTATTCTTGTATAGTGGGCTAATGATCCATGGTTTGTATGGATTGGGTTAAAACCCATAAGGTGCTCCATGGATAGTCCATGGAGGTTACAAACCCATGGATCATGGAATATGGAAAGCCATGACAATTAGGGTTTACATGGTGTAACCCTACTTGTGCCACAACTATATAAAGAACCCTATGCAAGCAAAATCGGCACTACTACAAGCAAGTAAGAGGGCTAGCCGATTTTAAGTATACTGAACTTCTCTCAAGGTTATTCCAAGAATTGTGGTGTTGTGTGAAGCATTTGAGGCATCACATTTGGGGTGCTAGGCTCACAAAGTCATCAAGGAATCCAAGCTACTAAAAGGTATGTTATTCTACTTGAGTTTTGTATTACAAGTTCCCCATAACATGCTAGATAGGAAGTAAACCTTGGAAAATCAAATTTGCATGTATTTAGAGAAAACATAGATCCAAGGTTTCTAGGGTTGCATGTATACCATAGGAGTG